CTAATTAGCATGATTCGCACTCTGAATAAATTGAAATTAGATTCTAATAGAATTTTGTCTCTAATAAAAGTTTCCTTTCAAATAAAGACTGCTAACTATTTAGGCAAATTTCCCCTTTTATCCAGAGCCTCGTAGTAGGCTATAACAACTGTCAGACAGCCCATGTGACTAAACCCAAAATAAAATCCACACGAACACTGTGTTTTCTGTGTGGGCATGCTCGCCCTCCCCTACAGTTAAACTATGAACTCCTGCTTTATCATAGCGATCCACCTGTGAGAAGAAGAATTGGACAACATGCTTATTCGTCTTTTTTATCTTCGGGAACTCCGACATCGTTAGTAATATGCAAAAGAGCAATTTAAGTCTATTTGATTGTCAAATTAGACGTTCTAAGTTTAACGGTCACTGATGGACCAGACTGCAGTGCAGGCGCTTCTTCCATCGGTTTTATTGGCTTCAGTCGCACTTTTCCGTCGTGAATCCCATACAGCAGCAACTGATTGGGAAACGGTGGCTTTGTGTTCTTCCCTTGACCGCTGTGCTTTCTTTTTAGTGAGCATTGTGTGCTGCGGCAGTAAGCAACATCTTGCGCTGGATTTGTTCAATGTCCGTATAGATAATTAGCCAGTAAAGATGGTGAATACAAATTCAGTTGTTCAGATCTGTTTTCCACCATTTTTTAAATACCAAAAACCATTTAACATTGTTTCAGGACTCAGCATCACAATAGCACCTACATTTGTCGGAAAGTGATGATTTACATGTGGCTCATCATGGGCTGCATTCCATTTGCTTCTCAACCTATCCAATGACTCAGAAAGAATCCAGCATGTATGTAAACAGTATGCGGAGTTCCAATCGTCTACATTAGAGGCATAATTACCCTCAGACTCACATTCATTCTAGCTCATCAAGGGCTAAGAATAGTAATATAGGCTATTCACCATCTGTGTGCTAATGGTGTTAATGAGACTTACTCTCTTATGCGTTTTATATGGTGAGAAACTTGAGAAAATGATCCAGTAAAGTAAAGCCCACAATGGAAATCACTTCTGCTTGCCATGACCTCTGTTGCTGCACCCAGCACCATCACTTGCCATCAGTCATGAGTGGAGCACTGGAGTCATTGGCTGAACACAGGGACATGTATCAGGCTAATTGATGTGACGCGAGCTGGCGAGGCAACGGGGAAGGACATGCAATTATGTGGCTCTGCAATAGACGACAATACAGGTTAAGTGAATTGCATATAGTTACTTTTTTGTTTTAGGCGGAGTTTGTTGGTTAAATTGGATGGTAAGTAGCCTACATTTATAGGCTCTGGTTACTTGTAGCCTATCTCTAGAAGTAGACTGACGTGGACATACTGGTTCTTGATTTTAGAATGAATCAATTGATTCAATTGCTACCAATTTACTCTCAAATCTGCGGTGTAAAATTATGGCAATAATTGGATAATTCTTCTTTGACCGCAGGGTTAAGTCTGAGCATTGCAAAGAAAGCGAGTCCTGACTGGATGCTGAGAGTGCTGAGTTCATGATTCTCCAGTCTCCACTGTCACTAATCACACGAACCGAATCTCTGAAGAAGATTCTAACAATCGTCTGCCCTCTGCTGCTGAGTGTAAGGATAACTCTCACGACGCCATTCTGTCAGCATTGGGATTGCAATAGAGCAGACCGAGGTAAATTGTCACAAAGAATATATAAATAGCTATATTTCAGCAACTATAAAGATTTGAGTCAAAAGTGCTATAACAATGTTTTCTCAAGCAGCGGTTTTGTTGTGGTTTTGCAAAGACCCAATTCAAACCACTTACAGTATTTTTTAAAAGAAATCTTTATTCCAGACTGAATCCAGTATGATAAAACAAGTCACATTTCTGTGAGGCCAAGTTGTCACATTTGTTTGAATGTTCGAAACTGAAACAATTACAATACTTATTAGCCAAAACAATTATCTGAAATATTTTAATATTTTTTGTGACCCTGGACCACAAAAGCGGTCATAAGGGTCAATTTTTTTGAAATTGAGATTTATAAGATTTATAAATAAGCTTCCATTGATGTATGGTTTGTTAGGATAGGACATTATTTGGCCGAGGTACAGCTATTTGAATATCTGGAATCTGGAAATTCATAATGGAAATCAAAATATTGAGAAAATTGCCTTTGAAGCTGTCCAGATGAAGTCCTTAGCAATGCATATTACTAATCAAAAATTAAGTTTTAATATATTTGGACTGAACTGACTTAGTGTCCCACCCATGAATGACATCTGTGGTGTTTTATACCTATTTAAATGATGCAAAAAAAAAGCTTTTCCACTTTATTTTTAATGTATTAATTATAAACACACTGGTTTGTAGAGGAAATAACTTAACCATTTGTTATTCTTCAAGTTATTTATTTTGGCTATAAAATACGCTTACATTTTGCCTTGCAAAATAAGGTGGATAATATAAAAATGAATGACAGATTCTTAACACCGTGACAACATGTTCCATTATTGGGCAAGATGCGTGACAACTAGCTAGTCTCCCACATGTATGTATTAGCTTCCCATAATGCTGCTGTAAGTTGGATGATGTCATGAATGAGACTTTAATTTCTCTGTATTTTGGTTTTCTTTCCACTCACATAGCCTACACTTATGCGCATATAGTATTATTGTGAGAAATTATAAATATTTAATGTTTTTGCTATTGTTGCACTTATGAACTGTGATTGGTGTAAAATTGATGGAAACTTCCTGTGGTCCTCAGAAAGGTCATGAATGGGGTCATATACAAGACAGATTGCATACAGATGTTATTGCTCCTAAACAAAATCTTAGAGGGTACTGGCCAGAGCCAACATTATAGAAAAGCACTATTAGATGATTAAATATATGGTCAGAAATGTTGGAAGTATAAGTGCAGGTCAAAAGCAGTGATTACTTTTATTTATTTTCAAACTTTCTCAAATCTGGGGTAATATATGGGCTTAAGTCTGTTTGTCTAATCACTGTTAATAAATAAAAAGTTTCATGAACAAGAAAAGAACAAACATTGGGTTGAAATTTCTTTCACACACTTTTTTTTATTATTATTTGGAAATAATAAAAATGAACTCTTTTTCATTTTTTTTTTTTTTAAATATAAAACATACACATCGTATGAGCCACACCTGTATACAAACAGAAATGTTGCAGTGAATACTTTTTCTTTTTCATCATCTCAGTGGAACACATACTAGAAGTTGTAAACAGTCAGCATGTTTTTCTCCTCTACCCAAGAATACTGATCAAGTAAAAGAAACACCTGTCTCTCATGAAGAAAAACAATCCAAATTTTCTGATAGCAGAGGTGAAGAATTTGGCTCGAAAGTACAGAGAAAATGACGATCTGGCTACAGCTTTAGAGCGGAGTGGTTCGGCCCTCTAAAAGTGACAGTGAGAGCTCTAGATTTGGACCCATATGATAAGAAAGGTGTCCGCTCAGCGGTCCCTCGTATTGGGATGGTTGTTCTCAAAAGTAAGCCTTGGCCCCTTTGCAAATATGGCTTAACCACATGGTCATCTCATATTTACAACACATGCGCTAATAAGTCTCTGTGCATCTATATTTATATTTAACATGGATACTGCTATGTATGTATGATATATTTTTGACATTTCCTGTTTTGATATCGGTATACTCTTGAATAACTTGATGGGATGTATACACATTTTCTAGGTTAATTTCTGTGGTTTTGAGGTAAATTATGATACAGTAAAACATGAGGGAGGTTAGTTTTTGTTCAGTGTTACAGTACAGCACATTTTCCCCTAAGGGATATAAAAGACTAAAAAGCCATAATCAAAAACTTGAAAAAAAAAAAGAAAAATGGAAAGAAAAAATGTTGCAACATTCAGCACCGAATGGAGGACATAAACTAGTTTTTTAGCTGATCTGAAAAGTCTGAGTGAAAGCAAATGGCTTCTTTTTCTTGGTTTATCTCTTATATTCAAGTACAAGCAAACTGTACAGGTACATGCAACATACAAGCTGGCCTACAGTATGTTGAACTAACACATATCTATTTCTGTTACTTTTTAACATTTGTGTAGTCTGTTTTACAAAAATGTGCATGCAGCTGGGAACTGATCCGAGTCATGCTGCTCCACCGCACTGGAGGGAGGGGCCAGTGGCCTGATTGGTGATTGGTGTTTATGCTCGTGATGGCAAAATCGGATTGGTCACTTCAACATTTACACACAAGACACATATATATATATATATATTTTTTTTTTTATTTATTTTAAAATCAAGCTTTTGTGATTGCATTTTTAATTCAAAATAAAGACGTACTGTATGTGCAAGGGCTCGGGCCAATCGTGTGACCTCAGAGTGGTACAGTATAAGTTGAAAGTGGCTTTTGCTAAACCACATACTATGTTAAAAAGAGAAATGTACGTCTGTACAAACACTTAGCATCAAACGAAGTTAAAAAGTTAGTTTAGTGTCTGAAAAACTCTATGTATCAAGATTTACTCGACAGATGAAAACATAATTGTATAAATTTCCTTTACCAAAGACCCTAAATTGGAAAATGTACAAGTACACAAATGTGACCCTGGACCACAAAACCAGTCATAAGGGTCAATTTTTCGAAATTGAGATGTATACACCATCTGAAAGCTGAATAAATAGGCTTTCCATTGATGTATGGTTTGTTAGGATAGGATAATATTTGGCCGAGATACAACTATGAAAATCTGGAATCTGAGAGTGCAAAAAAATCTAAATATTGAGAAAATCGCCATTAAAGTTGTCCAAATGAAGTTCTTAGCAATGCATATTAGTAATCAAAAATTACGTTTTAATATATTTACAGTAGGAAATTTACAAAATATCTTCATGGAACATGATCTTTACTTAATGTCCTAATGATTTTTGGCATAAAAGAAAAATCAATAATTTTGACCCATACAATGTATTTTTGGCTATTGCTACAAATATACCTCAGCGACTTAAGACTGCTTTTATGGTCTAGGGTCACAAATATGTTTATCTTGGTACATAGTGTTTTTCATGAACTAAATATCTACTTTTTAATAGCATTTAATGATAAGTGTAAACATCTAAAAATCGAATTCAATTCACTGAATAAGATGATGTATTGCAACGTACTGTAGGATAATGTAATAGTTTCAGTTAACAAAAGTAAGTAAAAATGTGCAAAGAAATGTGTGTATTTCCAGATACGTTGTCTTCGATTTCATTTTTAGCATTTCCTGTCATTTTCACAGCACACTGGGCAACACAAACCTGTTGTTTTTCATAAAACGTGCTAGAGATGTTAAAAAAAAGAAGCTAAATAAATGACGAGAGCGGCCTCCGTTAGCTGTCACATATGTTGAAAACAGAGGAACTTTTTTGGAGGAAATGGACCATGGCTTTGGGTCCTCCAGGTTTAGGCACCAAGAAAGGCCCTGCCCTTCCAGACAACCTCCCCAGGGTACGCCCTACGTCTTTCAAGTTCCTGACCTTTCACTTTCAGTACAAACAGGGTTTAGATAGGGCCTCGACTGAGGCCCCACAATCCCTTGGTCAGAGGTCACCTTTGTTTTTGGGTTGATACATTCTGATGCTTTGTTAAAAACTAGCTAACGTACATTTCAATGAAGACTTGACTGAATATCACCCTGCTTTCTATGTCGCCCTAAAGCGGTGCTTCCCGCGTGCTAGTGTAGACAGCCCTAAATCTCACGCAACAAACAGTGAGAGAAACAAACGATTTCGTTTAGGACAAACAAAGTTGGCAGAACACGGGCTACCCACAAACAGGAAAACAAAAACAAAGTCACAGGAGTGATTGTCAGATTTGAACAAAGCTTTGTGTTATTTCATCGCATTTTCTGCCTGGCTCTTATTGTTGTCCTGTTGTCTCTCAGACTGTGCTTTATGTTATTAGTCCACTACGATCGAACCCCCGCAGGTGCCGGCGAACTGTCCAGGGATGACTGAGAAGCACGTCGAGTTAGAGAGGCAAGAGTTGGGTCAACTAGGGAAGAAGGCGGGAAAAGTTTGTACCAGCCAATCACGTTGCTGGCGAGGTCCAGCTCCTCTAGTAGGATTTGTGCAACTCCCATGAAGGATTTGTGGTCCATTCGCCCATAATCTCCCCAGACAATTACCTAATAGGATGAAAATCAACAGATTCATCAGTGGATGGCCCTCTCAGGTCACATAATCAAAGTTAATAATATCTAATCTCACAAGTGTGATCCATTTAAACTAGACACGCAGCCCTTCAAATGACATTTTCTCAGAGAAGACTCGTTCGACTGCCTCATCAGCTGCAAAATGAAACGACATGTTGAAAAAAGACGAATAAACCACATGACTCACTTGTAACACTTTACCCTGTGGACTTTCTTCAAACTGCAGCGTTTGCTGGTACAGCGGGTCGAGTGTCTTGCGTGCAATTTTTGTCTTCTTCTTAGCTACATACGCCCCATTGTGTAGAAGATAGACTTTGACATATGGAGCTATGTAAAGAATGAATCAAATTAGGCAGATATTAACAGTGTATACTGACATTAGTGTGACTAGCTCTGATAAATCGGGCTGCTTTTTGTATCAGCTAGAACTGCTTGATGAGTTATATTATGGCTGAGTAATGTGAGACATATGGAGTTTGAATCAGAAGCAGCAAGTTAGAATAGAGCAGAAGTGACTTACCGGGGAGTGATTTGGACCCTGGTTTTTGGATGAGACCTCGTGCTCTTATCACCTCCACCTCCAGCTGGCCTTTCTTATTCACCATGCCAATTTGAATGTCACCTGGACATCACAGAATATGCAAATAAAATTATTTATTTAAATGGTACATTTGCTTAATGGACTTACTCAAATGGTTCATGCAAAAAGTATTACCGACATACTGCGGTTTCCATAAGCAGTTATTTGTTGTATTTTGTACTGAAATATGTAAGTGAATGAGGGCTGTAAATTAAATTGAATGTATTTAGTACAATTATAAGTGCAATAATAATAATAATACAACATTGGACTGTAGGCCACTGATTATGTGTATAGGGCTTATATTCAATGATATGGAAATAAACTAAATTCTAAATTCTTTCTATTTGTCTACCTCAATAATATAATGTCTTAAATGACATTGGTGCCTTTTCTCAACAAATATTTATACACATTATGCAGTTAATTAATTTAATGAAACTATTTAAATGAATCACAATCAATTGCATCGACAATAATGTATATAAATGAATACAAATTGTAAACAACTTGGGATAAGGATAGTATGCTACAAGGGAGAAAGATTAAAGAACAAAAATCAAAAACTTCACAGACAAACAAAACTTACCAATTGCTGGTGTGGCAAGGGTTTGTCGACCAACTAGTTGAGCAGGGCCCAGTCCATCCAGGAAGTCACTGAACTGAGTCTCGACTCGAACTGCTGGGAAGATTGGACTGACCAAGACAAACATTGATATGAAATACTGCAGGTGCTGTTCTTTCTGATTTACAGTAATTCATTTAAAAATCCAGTAATTGGATCTGAAAGTTTTGGAGATAAAAATCAGTATTTAGTCTTGTTTTAATGATCATTGTACCCAAAGTATTATAGGTTTATATACAGGTATGTTCTTACAAACTGAACAATTTTTTTTTTAGGCATAATGGCAATGCCTGACTGACGGTTGTCAGGGTAACATGAACGGCACTTAAGGAGGCTGCTATTTCTAGACAATAATAACCTTGGTTTAAGATGGGGAATTTCGGAAGAGAAAAAAATATGGAAAATGTAAAATTATGCTGTATCGCTGTATTTTCAGAAACAGGAAATTGCTCCAACTGACCCATGCTTTAGGACAGACATGTACATACAAGAACTCGCTATTAGTATGAAATGATAAGAACAAATGTTTCCACGTTGTTTTAGAGAATATGTAACAGATGTTTGGCTTCACCAATGCAGTGCAATATACAAAAAAAAACATACAAGTCCTGCATACATTTAGAAGTATGCAAAATTTGCTAAAATACTAATAAAGCAGAAGGAAACTTACCTGCCCTCAGAGTTGTAGCTGTTCATGCTTCCGTTGTTAGATTCACGGCTGGGTTGACGACTCATATTCCTCTGCAATTCCACAGCCATTCCCGTCTCCTGACTGCGCTGGATCGTCCCTTGACTGCCCTTTGACTTCTTATTGGATGCCTCTGAAGACGGACAGATTTCACAAACAATCAGGAAAAGAGACTTTTAAGAGAAGTCTGTATCATTCATTTGGAGAAAAAAGAATGTGATTTTCTGTGATAAAGTTTTAAAGAGTTGGATCAGTGTCCTCTCTAAACAATACTGGTCAAGCTGCACACTATCTCTTTACTATACTACATCCTTTTTGATGTTAAAAGCAGACAGCGAAATAATTTGACAGTGCTTGTAGCTCCCACCGGGTACTGCGTTAACCACCCCCCTTTATCTCGCTTAAAAACGAGGGCATGTCTCCTCATCCCAAATCCCTTTTTGTCTGCTTACATAAAACAGAGAGAACAAAATGCAGTTCCCCCGGAGGTCTTAGACTCCTCTAATGTGCTTTCAAGACTTTTTCAAAAGGAACAAGTGCTGTGGCACTGACATGAGTCGCCTGATGAAAAATATATATAAATAATCGTATTATATCAAACAAAGCAGAGTGAGTGCTGACATCTGAAAGCACTAAAATGGCCACAGGTGCCCCTTTGAAAAGACCCTGCTCATGTTTGATGAGGACAAACCATAGCTAAAGCATTCACTTGAACTCATAGCAGGATACTAATCAAAACAAATGCTGAATTCGGAACAGCATACTATCATACTACTCTTACTATTTTTACCATAACGTTATATGGCAGTAAGAGTAGTGTGCTAGTACGCAGTTCTGAATTCAGCATAAGTGAAAAAGGAAAGGTAGGCCTAAAATGCAGTTCCATAAACATTGAGTGCCCTCTTGTGTTGTCTAGTGAAAACACGTAATATAGAAATCTTGAAAATATTTAAATGAACTGGTTTCCAAGGCTCATTGGACAAAACCTATTCTGTCATTTCTGCAAAATGATATTACGTTGCTTCTGGCACATTTTACAACACTTTCAGAGTGAAATGTGCACTAAAAAGTGGTGATAAAAGAGTGTTAATTTTTCCCAAAAACAGATGAGTGTAAATGTGGCAACATTTTATTATGTTGGTTGTTGTACGTATGTATGTTGTACATATTTGAGACTTAATATGAAGAAATGCGCATTGTGCACAAGTAGTAGTCCAAATAAAGTTGAATTATAATTGTTATATCAATAAGTCTCGAGTGATGTCAGTAAATATGTTAATAGATTTGAACTATACTGTACTTAGTATTAAATAAAGGTATTTTACATATATTACTTTTTTACTAGTGAGGAACCATGAAAAAAAAAGTCTTTATTAATCAATAATTTGTGCCTGTAATCATAATCAGTTTGAAAAGAAATAAATGTTGGTGTTTTACTGTCACTATTGTTCATTTCAGCTGGAAGCTGCAGTATGTATGAATTGTTTTTGGAGACAAAAGTGTAGGTAGAGGCTAACTGTTTCAGTGAGAATATGTTGGGTTTAATTCAAGTCTAAATATGACTAAATCAGCCTGACTACATTGGGTTAGACCAATAAAGGAATTTTTAAGGGTCAGATCATTTAGAAATTCTTAAGATTACAACTGTCTGTTACTTCTTTTTACAGTGTAATTGATGTGTTTAAAAATGTCATATTTAAATGGGAATAAAAACAATGACATGATTTACAGTCAAATATAACATGAAACAGTGAATGTAATTTCTGTCATATGAAACATTTTCGTGTGAAAGAAAATATTCAGCAAAAGAATAAAAGGATTTTTTTTCATTAAGATTTAAATGTATTGGTATATTACTTTTATTAAAAGGAGTAACAACAGTGACTAACCCGTTTGACTGATCTGTGAGGTGCTTCGGCTGCGACGGTTTCCCACGATAGCCACGAATCGAGCATTGAGGCTGGAGCGGCGCTTTTTCGCTCCAGTTCCAACTGTTCCCAGGGCAGTGTCAGACTGGCTGCCGTCTGTTCGCTCCGACATGTTGATGTCACCGCTAACGCTTGTGCTCTTTAGCATGCTTCGACCAGATGAGGCTCTGACTTGTCGACTGTAAGCAAGAGAAAGCAAGTAAAAGAGAGATGAACAAAATTAGTAACAAATTAGTTGATACAGTATATAAAAGGTAATAGACACTAACTGACACTAAACAGACACTGTTGAAAATGATATTCAAAATGCTTTATTCTTTTATAGGTGTATTTACAACACAGCCTACTAACTATATCACTGATTCTAACCTTAGCACAAAATAAAAGCTATTTTTGTCCAATCAAATGATTTTGCACAAACCAGTATGGAACAAAAAATACATAACATCCATATTTTCAGCTAGCTTCTCTATATGAAATTAGCCTGAACCATGACTCCCGCAGTAGTCAAGACTAGTTAACACTGGTTAAAGACTCCATAAAAGCATTTGACAAGCACAGTTTCATTTCCTGTTTTCCTGTTTGATTTGCTACTTGCTAATTGGTTCCAGGCAGAATAGAGAGGCTCAAAAATCCCATTGATTTTCTCCATATTGGGGATTTGACTTATTGTGAGCTATGATGTTGTTAATTAATGGTATATGCTTTTGCTGAATCCATCAAACTGCATTCAAATATTTTTTTTTAATATCATCATGTTCAACAGTGTATTCCTGGTGAAAAACTACATTACCCATGATTCTGCAGAGACATCCCCACCAATCAGAGAATTGCAACAAGCAGATCCCTCCAAAATAACAGTGGCCGCTTATTCCCATGAAGCACTCGTAAACTACTTAAATGTTTGTAACACATAGTGACTAAAAGCCTTAAAAGTGTAATGTTTTTTCACGAGGTCCTTAAGACTTACACCTGAGATAACATAATTGTGTTAATTAAGCAGCAACACATTTGGTTTAGTTATTCAAACTGTCTATATTATGACACAGCAGAACACTTTGACAGTGCAACCATATCCTCTGCTGTGTCTGCGCCCACTGATGGAGTCAAGGTACTGCAGGACTGTCCAGTTGCACCCTCTCCATCATCTCTACACCCTAACCCCCTCTCTGTGGGACACAGGGTGGGGATAGGAAGTAAGGAGGTGGGTCTCTCTTCCAAAGGCTGGAGGGTAGTGACAGTGGGATGAGCTGACAGGGGTCTGGGTTTGGGATCCAGTGCTGGCTCAGTATTCAAGCATGGGAGGTATGAGGTGAGGCATGCAAAGAGAGCTCTAATACACACAGTACAATACACAGGACACACATTTACACAGACAGAGTGGCATGTGAATGAAGCAGAATACAAACAAATGAATTCAAACAGCATGCACAATGAACCTCTCAAACGATATGTAGGGTAAAGGATTATTTTTAAAACAGCAGAGAAGAATATTCCAATGCAGTATGAATAGCTGAAGCCTCTTTTTGGTCAAATTAAGATATATTAAATGTAAAATGAAGATAGATAATATATGAATACTTTCTCATTTTTTTCAACATCTATATTTTAGTTTACAATTCATAATAAATGTGTAGGGTAACTGAATATTTTTGACAATAGCACATTTAAGTTTTTCACTATTTTTAACCACATTTTGCCTTCACTAGCTCATTTTAAAGGTTGTGACAAATGAACTTAAACAAATATTTCATAGTCGATTTATATATCAAAAAATGCATGCATTATAATTGTAATAGAATTGGCGTCAATAAAAGTTTTAGACAGCATTTAGTATGTCACACTAGCAACTTCCCAAAATGAGTTTACGTCAACTGCCTATGTTTGTTTGAACCAAGCAGACTTCATTCAAATTGATAACTAGTGTGTGGCTTCAAATTGATCAGAAACGTTAATTGGTTAGTAAAGCCCAAATATATCAGAAAAGAGAGAGGAAAAGAGGAAAAGAAAATATGCTGTTTTCTATTTCTATTACAAGGCATTTGGTAATATTTATTGGTTGTGGTTAACCACTCTGGGCATACAATTTCTAGTGCCTCTATAGTCAAGTACAGTAATTTTTATTTGTATACACAACTGTTCACATTTTATGTGGTTTCATAGCAACTTTAAAGGAAATCATAATGTCTTAAACTGTGGCAAGAAACTTGTTGTGGAAACTAGAGTGTATACTAAATAATATACATATACTAAATATTATCTAGTTACTTAGAATGTGTAATACAAGTTACGTGTTTATTAAATAAGTGTAATAATTATGTTTTTCCCAAAAAAGTCATAGTTTCAAATTCAAGGATTATTGAATTGTTATTTAATAATTAATATAATAATTAACATCATTCTTTTTCTTTTCATGTTACATTTATATTTATGCAGTTTATCTTTTTTAGCATTATACACTTTTATCTGAAGTGATGTAATTGCATTAAAGGTATACTTTTTTAATCAATTCATGCGTTCTCTGGGAATAAAACCCCTAAACTTGTCGTTGTTAAGAATATGTTCTACTGTTTATGCTTCAGGAATGCTATTTTTCTTCTTACCATCGTCATTGACTCCTTTCTATGTAAATTAATCTTATTATAGAATGTGCCATGTTCACAAAAGTAAGTGTTATTAAGGTTTCACTATTACCAACTATGGTGTGCAGGTGGTAAATGGAATTTCAGGCAAGAGAGATGTTGTATACATTTTCTAGTGATCATGGCAGCAGTAATTCATCAAATGTTGAAGAAGAACTGGGCATATGTCCAGATGTGCGGTGAGGTTGAGCATGCTTTTGCATTTTAAAGAGCCAACTACGAAGGGATCATACAGTCTCAGTGAAGTATGACAGATTGTAGTAGTCTTTTGGCCGGCAAGATGAGGAAGTTGGTTGAGCAAATTTCTATGTGCTGTTACTGGATTTGCACAGTTCTGTTATCAAATTAGATGGTAAAACAATGCAGAAAGTGCATGTAAATAAACAGTGCTATCAGCAGAAATAAGATTATAAGAGTGCTAAATTTTTACCCTGTACTGGAGGTACTAGAAGCTCTTTTTGTTGTTTTTTTCTGATATGAGGTAAGGATAAAATTTTATTGGGTGGTGGATAAGGTGAAGACTTGGGCAGGGGGAGCTGGTCCATGTTACCTCACATCTCCAGCCACCGTATGACGTCTGCGTTTAAGCTCCTCAGAGAAACGTCTCTTTCCTAGACTCCTCCTGTTGTCTGTTCCATTCACCCCCCATGAAATCCTTCTCTCCTTCTTTTCATCTCCTTTACAACTCTCCAACGACTTTGACCTTTGACACCCAATGCAATGTGCATGCATGCAATAGAGCACAAGCCATAATAGCAAGGAAAGTAAATCATGCAGAAAATAATAATTTAACAAGCCAATGCACAAGACAGACAGCTAAGAGCATGCAAATGTTAAACACACGGCTAATGACAAACAAAGAAATATCACAATCTGAGGACACATCATTTTTGATGTGACCTGAATTGAATAATTGCTGCTTTGTATAGAATAATTTTAAAATTTTACTAGGGAGAAATATTATGATTGTTGTAGAGGAAGATAAATAAGCTATCCAAGTGAATGTTGATATAATTTTGAGGTTTTGTAACAGAATATGATTTTTTTTTTTCAGAGAAAGGAAAAAATAGCAAAGCACTAAAGAGAAAGAAACTATTTTTCATTTACTTTCATGTCCTATAAACACATAATAAACACATATACATGTGTGCACTCTGACCTAAATCTTGTCTTCACAGACCTAGACTGAATATACCGATTTTGTGTGTAGGGTCCGAAATAAACCCAAATCAATCCAAAATGTTAATAACCCCAACTGGCAATTAAGAGTGAAACAAAAAAAAAAGGTAGTAATCTATTACATTTCTAATTTTAGATACCTATTTTTGCTTACTTTTAGATATTTTTTACCTACTTCTTTTATCACATTGACTTTAATAAGAAAATCTTGTACCATATTTATATTTAAATACAAAGAGAAAGAAAATGTATTCCATTATTTGTTATCAATAACATGAAGTGTATGAAACATTACATAAAGTCAGGCTTTCCCACACTGGGCGTTGTGAAGGAACTGCAGCAGGTTTGTAATAAATTGATGCTAATAAAGCTAATAATTAATCCAATCTTAAAAATATCAAATTTAATATATAAAAAGAAGAATTGTGGAGAATCACTGAATTATGAATAATTTACTGCATTTTTTAAATATTAAGTAATCATGTAATCAATAAAAAAGTAGCCGTAATCTGATTATGAGTATTTTAAATTGTAACAATCTAATTACAACTATTTTTGGAACCTGCAAAAACATTTTAGACATCCTAGATAAACTTCTAATTATTAGAAGACGTTTTTTGATGGTTTATAAGTCTGATTTGTTTAGCTTAATATCAGAGAGGCTCACACTATAATTTTTTACAACCATGTATTATGTTGCATTTTCTAATAAAGTTAACGGCCACTGCCAATTTATACTTATCCTATTATTAAACAGTTTAACACACTTGCCGAGTGTTAAATTTGGATCCCATGTGTCTCTTAATAGGCTAACCTGATTCTCCCATGTGGTCTCTCAGACTGGATGGACATGTAGCTGGTGGCGCTCAGCCGTGAGGCACTGCTGGCACGGGAGATAGCTGATGCATCGCTCATGTCACTGTCTGATGACCTCGCAGACATGTTATCACAACTCCTCCTCTGATCCTTATACATCTAAACCATCAAAGACAAGAAAAAACAAATCTTTAATAGGAATTAAAAACCTGGCATACATAACAGCACTGCCAGACACATGTGTTGGAGACCTGAAAAGCAGTTTAACACTCACATCTCTCCTGTTTTTGAGCTCTGCCTCTGGGTCGTGACCAGAGCTGGCAGAAGAGCCTGGCCGATAGGAATGTACTCTCATTTGCAACTGACGAGCCCGCTCTTCCACTGCTAGTGCTACATCAAGACAGAAAGGGAAAAAAGCCGAAAAATGGAACAGGCGACAAAATAATCTCATTTAAAGTAGCACAGACAGATAAGAACATTTGGACAACAGTCGACATCTCAGCCTGTTTACATTGGCTACGTTTACATGCACAAATTTTGGTTAAATCAGACTGAATTAATTCCGACTGATGAATCTGAATGTAGTGTTTACATGAACGCTAAAGAAAGTGATCAGGCTGATGTGCACGTTTATATGTCACAAGCTTCAAATCGGAATTTAATTTATTTTACATGCGCACACTGCACAAATATACGCAGCAGCAGCGTAGCAGATCTATTCCGCCAAGAACAAATACATTAACATTGTCATACACATTACCATGCTAAAATCTTCTGAGAGTTATCATGATAGTACTAATGTTTTTAAAGATATGTATTGTAATTGAAATCTACAATTACAAGAGATAATAAAATAAAGCAAAAAAGCAAAAAAGCCCAAAATCACAAAATTGACCATAGTTCTGCCTGTAGTGTTTCGATGTAAGCTGGTATCTACATTTTGGAACAATGGTAGCTGGTTTCTAACAGGTCCAAGCTGGCCATTAGCTTGTTAACACTGATAAATCATCTTTGACCAGCAACAAACCATCTAAAGATGGTCAGTCAGTTTTTGGAACAAAGAGGCTGGTTGACAAGCAAATAACCAACTTGGGCGAGTTACTACATTATGTTCCAAATATTGTTAAGTTTGAACAAGCAATATACAGTATACCACTGAGTAAAAACTGATATTATTCAGACAAGCAAGTGATCAATTCTAGGGCAAAATGCAGAGAATGGAATGAGATACCTGAGTTAGGTTTCTCCTCAGGTTTACTGTTGACATGGTCTTCATGAAGATGGGGTTGAAGGAATGAGAAATGGCATGAGAAGAGACAGAAAGGAGTAAGGTAGAGAGATTAACAACTTGTTGACCACATGAAAAAAAAAAAAGGCTACGGACCAAGGAGCCATGAAATTACCTGGCATTTATGAAGGTAACTGGCACTGGGACAGATTCATGGGTTTGGGGTGTGAATTTGAATGGTAACAGCATTTTAGGTTACTGCTGTCTGAGTTTGTGAGTATTTAGAAAGAGAGAGAGAGAGAATGAATTGCTTACCTTGCTCTATACTGCTGCTCTTTGCAGGAAGTTGTGGCAGCTGTCTGCCCCTGCGCCCTAATGACGTGGTCCCTGCCGGGGTATAATGTCCACCATGCTGAAGTTCTCTGAGAAGAGAGAGATTTTGTCAAAATTTAAAGTAGAAAAATGGTCTGATTACTACTTTCCATCAGATGAACAATTTAAAAATGTGATTAAAAGATATTTCATTCTACTACCAGTGTTGGGGAGTAACTAGTTACATGTAACGGAATTCCGTAATTTAATTACAAAATTAATGAAACTGTAATCTGTTACAGTTACTGACAAAACATGTGTGATTAAATTACAGTTACTTATGAAAATGCTAACAATTACAAAGGAGGGTTACATCTGAATATTTTCACACGCATACAGATTTGATTGATTTCTTTCCCAAATTGCAGTGACTGCTCTAAAATATGAGACACCAATGTTTCAGCAGTTTAGGACACAGAATAGGACACATGCTTCTTTGATAACTGTTTTATTTCCTATTTGGGTTTATGTATATGCTTTATTTTTTAAGATTAACGTTTTTTCCCAAGGCATTGTTAGATGCCAGTGTTTCCTGTTGTACCTATACAAGGATTTGATTTCAAAAACAGTATCATAACTATTAAACTATATCTTATGATTTTAAATAAGTAAAAAGCAGTGCTAAAGTCTGATTTTGTGCGGCTGTGCTATAAAATTAAATAATCATCTTAATTCAAGTGATAAAGGATTTTGAAAGTCTGACAGTAATCCATGTTGGGTCCTACTGTTAAGTTAACCCTGTCTGTTCTAAATCTTTCAAAATGATTAAACTTTCGTTAGAAATTTAGAAATGTAATCAAAAATTAATCAAATGTAATCAGTTACAGTACATTACTTTAATAAAGTAACTGAAATAATTGCACTACTTATTAAATTTTAAATAGGGTAACTTGTAATCTGTAACCTATTACTTTTCTAAAGTAACCTTCCCAACACTAGCTGCATTTCCATCCACCTATTTTTATGCACATTTTGGAATATCGCATAAAAAAAACGCTGGATGGAAACACCAAGATGCGCATAAATTCTAAAAATGCGCATAAACTACGATGGAAACACATTTACCGAATAAATTCCTCCATGTGCATTGAAAAAGTCATGTGACTTTGCGCTATGAGACGGGATAACTTGACTAGCAGCGGACCGATCTCGTTCACAGCATCTATATGTTGGTCATTCTGAAATGCCTGAGCAAAGTCTGTCGTCAAAATATTTCTGTATCATTGTCTTACACAACTGCGTTCACAAACAGCAGCATCCACCTCCGAAAGCATTGACAGCATTTATTGTGTTTCGTCTGCTCGCTCTGAGGTGCAAGTAATTTATATCATTTATTTATTAACATTTCATTTATTTAAAATTATTATATTCAGTGGCTTCTCCTATATTCTTAGTGATATTTAGTGCCATAGTTTACCAGGAAGTGACGATTTTGTTCTCTTTGACTTGTTGGATGGAAACGGTGCTTAATTAGCATATGTTTTATGCAATATTCCAGTTTTGCGCATAAGTTTAATTTGAATCTTTGGATGGAAGCAGCTACTGTCTACTACACTATGTACTGTAGTCACAGAAGTACAAGAAAGCTGATTTGAGATTCGTAGGTAAAATTAGTAATTTTTTGTATTGTTGACTTTATACGATTGAGACATCACAATAAGCAGCAGTGCACAAACTACAGGCAGCTACAGGTACAGCCAAGTTCTGAGGATGCCAGCATGCACCTGTCAGCTCGTGGGGAGTTAGGGCAGGAACCCCCTAAGCTGGTCTGGCCAAAGGGCCTGAGGGGAGGCTCTCTCCTCCTCCTGCCACCCCTGAGGATAGAGGTGGGCTGAAGTCTAAACACAGCCACGGCAGAAAAGGGCAAGGGCGAAAAGAAAAAAGGAAATTATGTAATGAAATATAAAAGTCAGACAAGCAAAAAACCTGAAATGGGTAAACCAATAACAAACAAAGGTAAAAATAGTAAATAAGCATAAACTGATGTAGAAAACATAAACAGACAAGTGATAAAGAGATGTTCAAAGGTTTATTATGAGATCTCACCTGTCGCCATCAATGGTTTTCTTGTTAGCTATCTGACAGCTTGGCCTATCCAAATTGCCAGAATGCCTGTGAGATGGAAAATGACTGATCCAGAAAACAAACAGAGTGGGGGGAAAAAAACAAAAGGAGGAATGTAGGAAGCTAAATGGAAAGCTATCATGAGATCAAGGCCAGGATGGTGCTTCTCTGATTTAACTGAAACTGTTACAGAAAAAGATGCTAAAGAACACGACTGAGTTGGTAAGGTTGTAAAAAATATATTATTACACTAATATTACATACATATTTGTTACATAAACATTATTACAATTTGGGGGGGGGGAAATCTGCATTGTGATATGTAAAATGTAATTTATTCCTGTGATGCAAATCTGAATTTTCAGCATCATTACTCCAGTCTTCTTTGTCACATGATCTTTCAGAAATCATTATAATATGCTGATTTGCTGCTCAAAAATTTTATTAATTAACAAATAAATAAATCAACTTATTTATTATTTATTTATTTATGTAAACATCTTTACTGTTTGAACTTTTGAAATATTTTTGAGATGTTACACAGACACTGCAGTGTAAGAATAGTGTACTTGTAGGTACTGAGTTCCCCTTGTTTCCACATACCTTTCTCTTTCATGTAAGTGGAAGTTTGACTCTGGTCTCAAGCAAGTTGTACTGGCACTTCTTATTCTGTCTAATGAAGGCTGAAGGTCACTGGAAAGAAAGAAAGAAAGAAAGAAAGAAAGAAAACATTATTAACCATCAGTGTACAGTAGGGACAGTGTGTCCTTTCTGTAGCATTTTGTAGTGTGTTTTGAAGGTACTTACACTTGAAACCCTTAAAATCATAAAATTTGTGTAAACAGTTCATTGTTTCATTAAAAAGACTTTATGACCAATGGGACCATTTTCAAATGTTCTCATCTGTTCTCTTCCTCTACGTACATAAATATTAAACGGACGGTAACCTAAAAATGGCGACATCAAAATTAACCGGTTAAAGCTGAATCTACCTAAATATAATAATTTAGCACCAACAAAACTACTTTATATGGGTTAAATCATGTTGAAATATCTCTTTAAAGTAACCACCTCTTGCATTATACTTTATATTATTTTTTTGATTCTCTGACTATTAACATAGGTTAATGGAGGGGTTGCCATCAGTCATACATGGCATGATATGGCATATTACTATTGTAGTAGTTGCTTGCTGCTTTGATTTCTCAGGCATATATACTTGCGCCTTTTCCAGCACAGCACAAACAATTTTAATTGCTCACTGCTCCTTCTCACTTGCTATTGATTGTTATCTGGTTTGGATTTGGGCCCCTTACCCAGAGCTGACCTCGTCTGTGAACCTGAGAACACGCTGTGGAATGGCACTAAGAGGGATAACACCATCCCTCTCTGTTCGCCGGGACGGTTTGTTCTTTAAGCATGCAGGGAGGGTAGAGCTTAGCATGGGAAGAAACAAAGAAATAAACAAAAGCATGCATAACAGACATAAAAAGAAAGCAAAAATGAACTAAAAATGAAGTAAAAGTAGAAAGGGGCTTTTAAAATGTGAACATCACAAGAAGGGAAACTACTAATGCTCTCAGTTGAATAAATAGATCTAGAAGCCATCTTTGTGATTGGGGTTGCCAACTTCAGAAGAAGACAATAAGGGACACTCTTGGGTTCTTTATAGGAAAATACGAGACAACATAAGGTGTCATGCTGTTGTGTACATGCGTGTCTGCAGCTATGCATGTCTCGAGACTCTGCTTGACTGAATTAAATGCTAAAATTAATCTGCAATATAATCACTTACTGATATACATGCCAGCTGTAAAATGTAATTAATCTGAATGTCATACTGAAGAATCACACATGCAACTCCGATCCCCTTACTTATGGGACAATTCTGCATTATACAGAATGGTTGGCAGAATTATTGTTTTCTGTGTTTATATTTACATAATATATTTAAGCGATATCACAAGCAAAAGTGCTATTTTCCATGAATATCAACACGACTGCAAATGTCATATTTACTTAACCGTTCAATAAACAATGAGTTAATTGTATTATGTGAAAATTTTAAGAGATAACTTTGTTCATTTTGACTGTTGATTGTTTTAGTTCCAAACAAAGCAACAAAGGAGTATTTAGTTCTTGAATGATTCATTTTTGAACAAATCGGATGAGTCAATGATTCAATGACCCTCTCATAAAGACAGTGGTCACTTACTTCCTAATGAATGAATCATCCGGTTTGAATGAATCGGTTAAATTAATGATTTTATAATTAGGACTTGTTGCCGGTTGTTGCTTGTTTAGTTTCATATATAATATTTGTGATGCTGAGATGACAGAAAGCATAAGGGAAAAAAAATGTTTAATGTGTTAATACTTGAAATGTGTAAAATAAGTGCATTTTTACTCTGTTATTTCAAAAGGTAGATAAATGCATATTCCTAAAAATGTTTCAGTTGTGTCTAGGAAAACAATATATGTTTTTATGACCCAAGAGATATTCAATATTCGATATGTGTTATTGAATGTTAATAAGAGTAATTCATTTAATTGTCCTCATTTGTGGATACTGAATTTTCAGTATATATGCCAAGTTTATCTTAAACCAGATTAAAGCATACTCTTTATGCAAATAATGTAATTAAGTATCAGAAAATCTAAAAAATGTACACTAGGATGGGAATCAGCAGGGACCTGGTGATATAATATTGTATTCATATTTGGGTCATGATATAACAGTTCGATTCTTTATCTTTAGTGTATAGTTATTCAAAATTGTGATATATTGCATCTTCTGCTTACTGGATTCTCATCTTCACTGAACTGTGTTGTTTTACCTAAATGTGTATTTTATAATTTTATATATATATATATATATATATATATATCGATAGCTTGTTCTGATTTTGAATTGCAGTTAAAAAGTAATAACTGAGTATGTGTTTATGAACAGAAAGCTACAGCAATTTCGCAGACTTGCTTTGAATGGTTGGTGGACAATTAATAAATGCACATTACATTATTACAAAATACAACTCATGGTAAACTACAGTACAGAAATACAACACAATGAAAGGGAGGGGAAACTATGTCTGTAATGACTAAAACAGCACACACATTTACTGCAAGGGTCTGAAAGGTTTCACTAACAGTATGGGAATCTGCTCAATAGCTTACCTGTAAATATCTTTATGTATACCATTCACTAACAAGGGCATCTTTGGGGGAAGTGTGTTACAGTGCCTAGCTAATTTCCTAATTACAATAGCACAAACAAGCAGGCATCAAAAAGGGCAAAACATAATGAAAACCATTACTCAAGCAAACACCAAAAATCTTTTCAATAGTTTAACATGGCAGACACAGACAACAGATGAAAAATGACTGTAAATAAAGATTTCATGTAAATTCTTAAAAGCAAAATGAACTCAAATGGGCTGTTTACACCTGGTCACTTCATGCGTTTTGTCTGATCGGATAGCTATCCGGTCGTGAAAAGGCCAGGTGTAAATGCCCTCCGAGACGCGTTAAATTTAAATATAGCGCGGGAATTGAAGATCGGATTTATATCCGTTTTGCGACGACACATTTATGTGGCCAAGTGTAAATGGAAACGTTTTAACAAATCAGATAGCTATCCGATCAGCGAAAACGCATGAAATGACCAGGTGTAAACAGGTAAAAAATTCTTGCTCTAAATTCTCGTATATATATGTCATCACCATAAGATTTGTATGCTCTAAAATTGTCAAGAAACATAGAAAGGCAAGGCATTCTGGGATACAGGTAACTCAAAGTGGCAGCTCTGGATGTTTACCTGTTTGTATGCAGGCACTCAGCACTCCCACCTCGGATTGATCTGTGCATCTCCAGGACCTCGCTAAGGTTGCCATGGTGATGGTGACACATTGACAGTTTGACAACAAAAGTAAGAGGATGGTAAGGAAAAAGAAAAGAAAGAAAACGGAATATGTGTAGAAAATTATAGACATGTATTTAGCAATATCTGTACTATTATTAATGGGAATGAACTAAAAACTATGACTGTTAGTCATATTAGTAGTATTAGTATTTAGTAGAGCAACAGCATAAAACATTTTGTTGACACAATATGAAAACACGTCAAACTCTGTTCTAAAACATCAAATGTACCTGATGCTATTTATCAATCTAGGTGTGAATAAAAACATACAGTTCGATATAGCTAAAGCATACGATTATGTAAAGTGCTACAGTGTTTTTCCACAAACACACACACATTTTTATATATGCATTTGGAGCATTAAGCACTAGAATAGCGATACCTGTCCTCTGAATATTCATAGTCAGAATCTCCGGAGCGATGTTCCTGGTGGGAGTCGTGGTAGTGAGAGGGAGAGTAGGAATGATGGCGGTTTTTGTGGATCTCATCCAGACTCCTGAGGAGAGCATGACGAGTGATAAGTCGTACATCACACATAAATCATAATCTATAGGGCAAGACACTTCACACAACTATATCACCTATATCAGCATTACATTGAAATGCGTGCATGAATGAGCTCTATATCTATGCTGTGTCTGATGAAAGAGTTTTGCATGAACACTTAAAATGTTTTCCTTATTATCGAAGACCGACACAGAAGAGAAGAAATTGTTGAATAATTTTTGTTTTCTTTGCGCACAAAAAGTATTTGTGTAGCTTTATAAAATTACGGTTGAACCACTGATGTCACATGCACTGTTTTAACAATGTCTTTACTACCTTTCTGGGCCTTGAACGTGGCAGTTGCGTTGTTGTCTATGCAGGGTGAGAAAGCTCTTGGATTTCATCAAAAAAAAATTCATTTGTGTTCCAAAAATAAACAAAGGTTTGGGTTTGGAACTAGAGGTCTACACGGAGGACCCGAGACCCGAGGACCCGGGACCCGACCTGGGATCCGTACGGGTTCGGGTCTCTATTTTAAATGGTCAGCCGGGTCCGGGTCGGGTCCCAATCTATTACTTCGGGTCCCGGGGTCTGTTTAACATTGTGTGTAATACCCGAGTCGATCGGACTCGGAGAACACCCGGCTGTTATCAGAGTCAGTCAGTGCTGTGCGTGTGTTGTTTTGTAACTTTCAACTTGTAAAATTAGGATGAGAAAAGTGTGAGTCAGTAATTTGAAATAAGGTGGGGAAAAAAAACGAACGACATCATCAGAAGCAAGGTGGGCGGAGTTAATGCACACGCACGGTGATAATGGATACCTTCATGAGTGCTGTGAGTTATTATTGATTATTTTTTTAATAATATAATGAATGAACCGTCTTGTTGGTATATCTAAAATTTTTGCTTAGACTCGGCTCAGAGAGCACAGAGATGATAGCAAATAAGTAAAGCTAACGTCAGCAGCCATGGCACTGGACGAGCAATCGTTATTATAATCCAAATGGGCAAACAGTCTAAATTATTATGCAAGTTGACTTGAGATACAAAAAATGCAAAACTGCAAAGTCGCATTTGTCATCCGTCACCGTGACAGCAAGTGGACTTTTGAAACTGGAATAATGAGTGGATTACGCATTTCAATTGGCAAGAGAGGAATAACACGGATGGAACTTTCTTGGCAAGGAGGATTGTGTGCATCACAGTCAGGTACAAGGGAGAAGGCTTCTTACATTAGGTAAGACAAAAAGTTTAATTTTCGCAACTTGTTTATCGTCTTGTTAATAGCAATTTGCTGTGGAACATGTGCCGATCGGGTCCAGTCGGGTCTGTGTCTTCCCGGCCGGGTCCATCTTTCAAATTGACTTAGGATGAGAAAAGTGTGAGTCGGTAATTTGAAATAAGGTGGAAAGAAGAAAAAAAAAACCCGAGTGACGTCATCAGAAGCAGGGTGGGCGGAGTTAATGCACACGCGCGGTGATAATGGATACCTTCATGAGTGATGTGAGTTATTATTGATTATTTTTTTAATAATATAATGAATGAACTTGTTGTTTGGTATATCTAAAATTTTTGCTTAGACTCGGCTCAGAGAGCACAGAGATGATCGTCGGTTCCGGGTAGTACATTTTTGACATTTCTCGGTTCTGCACAGGCCCGGGTCCAACTTTCAAAATAATAGACGGGTCCGGGTCGGTGTAGCACATTTACGGGACCCGTGTAGACCTCTATTTGGAACTAAATGAGGTTGAGTAATTAAAGACAGAATTTTTGGGTAAACTATCCCTTTAAGCCAATTTTTAGCAATAGTTGTTTTTTTTTATAGTGAATATTTATTAATGTGTGTGTAAATTAGCTGATAAAAAACAGGAATTATTAATCAGCAACTGCTTATAAGAAAAAAGTCAGAAAGAAACGAATAGCGATTTTCAATGGTAAAATAATAATAATTATTATTATTATTACTATTATTATATGATTTGAATATAATTATAATATTAAAATAAATAATAATAAATGCAACTTAAATGAAAACAAATACAAAAGTGACTTTAAATGACAAATTAATAATCATAATAATAACAATAATTATAATTATTATTATTACTATACATGTTAATATATTTAATTATAATCTATAATAATAATTAACAAATAACAAAGGCTAAAAAATTTTATTGTTAAATTGTTGCTATGATTGGTCAGTTAGGTTGTGGTATCCAGTTGATGCAGCTCACCTCTGCATAGGGACGTGTGCAGGTCGAGAGCGGGCTCTGCATTGGTCTTCTCTGTGTGGGGATACTGACCGCGAGCGATGCTGTATGGCCGCCTGTCTCTCAGGTACGGTCAGTGTGCTTGACCTCTCCCTGTCTCTGGAGTTCCTCTCTGCTGCTTTAATACAAGTACATTCTGTGTCATGGACTTGTTCCAGCCAAAAAAATACAGGGACATTGGAGAGTGACAATAACACACCAACATTCGCATTTCTAAAACTACTACAACAATTCATGCCAAGGGATTGTGCTGAAGTACCAGCACAACTGCTACTGCTCTACACATGCTAGAAAGAAAACAAGCAAAAAAGAAAGACAGAAAAATAAAATCTGCTCTGTATGATTGTACTGTTACCATTTGTCTGATTTTGTCCCCTTTCATGTATTTATTTGCATGATCAATTGGTGTCACGTTTTATATTTTACTTTTATTTCATTCGCTTGGCAGAACAAACCTAAGCATTAACTGTACATGATGCATGAGTTTAGTGAAAGACAAGAAAGTCTCTAAAAAGATGGCAAGTCTTGTGTGACGGTAGAAATGTATAAAGCCTTTAAATTGTGTTATGGTAAAAATATGATATGGAATTATTTTTTTCCAATGCTATCAATGGGAGTTTTCCCTTCCAATAATTATTTCCATCACAATGCGGCACCATAAAAATGGCTTCTTTCCATCTTCTTTCTATCCAGTTTTTCGTTCTTTTGTGGTATTTCTTGACATAGTGATTAGAAACTAGTTAAACAGCAAAAACAATGCTTGATGCTTGATGCACAACTGTACTAATGTCAAGCAAACAACACCACAAAAGCAATCTGTATCAACGTTATAAATTAATGTTCTAAAGTACAACTGTAAACAACTACAGATGATGCTACATCTGATCAAGGAGTTGCTGGTTACAACCACAGAGCTTTAATTAGGCTAGCCTAATTCATTAAATCAATGCGAAGCGAAGCATTTAACAGCATATGTATCATTTTCACTGAAACACATACAGTTTCCACTACACTTCACTCACGAAAATATCTATGAACTATGAAGTGAATGTATTTTAGCACAATTTAGAACTGGAGAAGCACACTGATTTGCAATAGTAAGGAATTGAGGCTTTTTGTAAAAGAAATCTGACTTGCATGCAGTTACATTAAAAAGTAGATTTGGGAAGGAAGTGAATCGTCCCCCAATCAATGTTGAAAGGAATTTAAAATGTGCCTAAATTAAGCATTAAGCGCTTCAGGGTTTCTGAGAATTCATGACTCATGCATCTGATGAACTTTTTATGATCGCTCATCAAAGCACTAACTCTGAACAAGTGCAAGTTTTCCTAAATTAATAAACAGAATATAAATGGAAAGCACTCCATTATAAAAAGATTCAAAATATCAGCCACAGCATATTTATCTTTTACGCTCTAAATTCTACAGCAAGCTTTTCTACAGGCATGCAACAGAGGTAACATCCATTGTCATAAGACCCATATTAATCATGTTACATGCTGTAATACACTGTTGTAATCACTTTATAACCTCTAGCTACTCCAGCTTGACAACAAAATTAAACAGGTCTTATGAAGGTGATAAAAGTGTGTTTTATAGAGCGTGATTTTGACAGAATTCATGTGAGGTGTTTCTGTGGTTCAGTTGAACACTCTACAGCCCAGCACAGGGGGAGAAAGACTCTATTCTGTTTTTCTCAAACTAACACAGCCTTCTTTTATTACATATTATTCTATTCAATGCATACACACACTGTTTGATTTTATGCTTTCATCTTTGTGCCAATTAAGAAGAAATACATTTGTATTTGAGGTGCTTGTATACAACTAAAAGGCTCAGAGGAACAGTAAAAAACAACAACAACTGTAAACTCTACAGTAATAATATGTGACATTAGCTTTCTTTCTCACCCTGTGATGAGTTTCTACTCTTCAGAGTAATGATTGCCCCCACCCACCTGAGGACACTACTGTTATACCATCATCATAATCTGTTTCAATGATGCGATGAGATCCTGAGAGACACACACACACACACACACACATACACAGCATACAGTTCAACTGCTGAACATAAAATACAACAAATATTATAACTGCACTGCAACCTGCATACAAAGCAATTCAGTTTTACCTTATTTTTCCTTCACCCTCTTCTCAGCACAAACTGGGGTATGAATAATTAATATGGTTGTTTGATCATTTGCTTGCTTTATTTATACTGTAGCTGTTGATTTTGTTCTCATGTTCAGTAACTTCTGACTTCTGTCTTTGCTCCTCTGCTTTAAAATATCAGTATTAATCTCATCAACAACATTAGTGATGGAAATGTTCATTAACAAAGTCTCTTTTGATTTTGAAAACAATAAAGACAAAGTGTATAATATGCGTAAGGATGATTATATATTTATATAGATACCCCCTGACAATGTAAAGCGCTTTGAGTGCCTACACTGTAAAAAAAATTCCGTAAAATTTACTGTAAAAAACCGGCAGCTGTGGTTGCCGGAATTTTACCGTTAAAAATACGGTAGCAACGTTTTAGGTTTTACGGTTTTAACTTAAATTTACAGTTAAATACCGTAATTTCATTAACTGATATAATGTTAATATACCAACCTATTGAAGTACTGAAATCTGTTTTGTACCTTTGTAATACACTGATAACCACCAAATGCAGGAGGTGATGAGGAAGTCACATGATGAACCAAAGCCCATCACAAGCAGCTTTTAAATAATAAAATATATAGAAGGTGCACAGTGTCATTCACACAAACACCAAACACCATCATGGTGACACACATGAAACTGAAATAATGCAAAAAACATTCATTTAACAACATTAGGTGTAACACACAACCCTAATATACAAAACTGAAGAAGAAACAGTTATTTCAACAAAAAAACATCAAATTTGAAATGTAACGCAGGGAATTCTGGGAATGTCAATTTACGGTTATTCACTGTAAATTATACAGTCTTTTTCACTTCCAAAAACGGTATACTACCGTAAAATTAATGTCCAATACATGTAATGTCCAATACAGTTTTTCACCGTATATAGTAGGGGAATTTACCGTTAACCATTTAACAGGTTTTTACTGTAGCATTTTTACAGTCTTTTACCGTTAAATTCACGGTAATTTTTTACAGCCTGTTGACAGTTTGACTAACTTAATCAGCTTTGAATGTTTGTATGGCAGTTCAGATAAAGCAGAAAATAAATCGTAGAAGAAGCCACTGCACGCAGTCATGACTAATGGATGCAGTCTCAGTTCAGTGATAGAGAATGTACGTATAATTAATTGTCTCGATCTACCGACACACAACATCATGTCTAGTATTAACTGTATTTGTCAGGGATCATTTTATTCCAGATTTAAGTCGTGTGCTTTGACAGGCGGATCCACAAACGGCAAACACTCGTTTCAATTGCAGCTTTTTGTAGTTGAGACACATAGAGATTCTGTTTTAATGTGATTAGCAGGTGATTCAGTGTGTGTGTGTGTGTGTGTGTGTGAGTGAGTGAGTGAGTGAGTGAGTGAGTGAGTG